TATAAAACTCACTGAGCTTTAGATTTAATCCTTTGGTTTTACATTCTTCAACTACATGATTTATCGAAATTTCATACTCTGGCAGTTTGCACTACCTTTAAAGAAGTATTATTATGTATTAGCATACATACTTAAAAATTATTCCGTTTATACCAATGAAAACTAGACTCAAATATAAATCTAACCATATAAGTCACTCCTTATAGTTAAATTTGTACAATTTAAAATGAATTTTCAAAGTTGACTTACAGAAGCTGGTTTGAGCAGAATCTGCTACCCTATTTTCTAACCTATCATCAATTAAAAATTCATATATTTTTTTATACTTCTCAAAATTAGTAGCCATTTGTTTTAAACTAAACTACACTGACATAGGAATTCAATGATATATAGATTGTCTTCTAATCAATTCCATATAATTTACGGTGATTTTCTAAACATACTGTTCAAATCATAATTTCTAGGCAACTTTCCTTAATTAGCATCCTTAGCTTCCATAATTCTTTTAGCTTACCAAATGAACATGTATGGATGAATTACAATTCACATAATATTTAGGAGTTACTTCTTATCATAGTAACTTCGTCACTGGCTCATTGCATGCCAATGTTCGTTCGATAACATAAATATAAAATAAATATGCACTCACATTTTCCTCACTATCAAAACTTCTCCACGATAATCTTCTCAATCTTGCACTTTTCCCTTCCCTTTAAAGTTACTTGGATCACTAAATTTATCGTGGTCTGACGGTGTCACATAATAATATAAAATATTTGAAATGTATGTTAGTATCATACTAACATAATCTAAACTTAATAATATAAAAGCCTATAAAAATAGAATCGATACTTAATCGGTATAAAACTAAATCACACTTCCGTCATAATTCAAACTTCTTAAAATACACATTCAATTGCACAAATACTTATCCTTATAATCAACCCTTCAGATTTTATCAATTTCTCAATCATGCCAATAATTACGAATTCTTTTTAGAATTCACATTAACTTTTTCCATTAAATTTATAATAATCCTTTACCATTATGATCATTACACATTAATTACTAAAATTTTCAGCATCTTAATAAAATACTTAAATCTATACTTTAATATTCAAAAACTTGCAATTTCGTCCTAAACTTTCTTAGATTTTTCGAATTCAACCATCCATCTTTATAAACTTGAAATTTGATCCCAACTCAATATTTAAACTAAAAAATCAGCATACAAATGAAATTTCCAGGGAATATGCGTTTTAAAAGAAACAATTTTTGAGTATTTAAAAGATCAACCAAGAAATACAATGACAGAGTTAGCTTATTTTAACGAATTTTCTCTTACACCACGAATTTACGGACAAATAAAGGTTTCAATTTTATCGTTTTGAGACAACGAAATCTTTGGTTCACAAACATCCCTCTAACAAATTTTACGATTCTAAAGCTCAAATAAAGTCATCCTAAAGGTGATAAGGATGAAGCAATTCAATGTAATATTATGCTGAACAAATCTCTAACAGCAAGGTACAACCCAAAACGATCAGAGGTCTTATCATACTCGAATTTTACAGAGCGTAGCATGGAAATGAGATATTTATTTTTCTCTTAAGGAATCCATATGACATTTTAAAGAACTTACTGAGAATGATCATTGACCGAAACATCAGAACGTGATAGAATATTCGAGGCTTAACAAAAGAAAGTCAATGTAACATGCGAAACATCCAAGGTATTTACACATACATGTTTTTACTTTCAGGGTCGTTTCGTGAATACAAGCCACACTTTAAGGCCTGCTTGATTATCAGACTTCTTCGCGAACTGATCAAGGGATATCATTTCAGAATTTACGAGAAATGATCTATCAAGATCAAGGAAACTTGAGCCTTAACGAATCCATTAAGTTAAAAAAGTTATACAGTGCAAACCTTTGCAGAAGTTCAAACTTGTAACTTTAATTTAACATAATTTGACAAAACACAAATCTTGGACCAAGGGTCCCTCAAAGGTGATATAGGAATTCCCACAATAACGAAACTTTTACTAACAAACAGATAGATTATCACACTAACGACTCTTCTTAGAACTGAACATGGTTGTTTTGGAAATAATATGACCACTTGCCTTCATAGAACATACAATGCGGAATTCTATTAGGAACATCTGAGCATCCGTTTAGCAACGCTGAAAAGGCATTCACTTATCAAGGAAGGGAAAAGACTTGTTTGACTGTGTACGGATTCTACTCAAAGATCATAGGTAGGAAATATCTAAAATAAAGGAGGCTTCCACTCAATTCAGTAGCAAATGGTTTATTCGACGGCTCTTGAATTAGGTCTAATACATAAGAACGCACTGAGGAAATTAACCAACAAAATGACGCGATCATAATAAAGAGTAGAATTTGGAAAGCTTGTGCATTCATCTATCATATGGATTCTCCTTTAAGATAAAAAAAATCAAGGATCTACGATATATAGGAATCGAACAAAAGATTTCTTCAAAAAACGTACAAGTTTTGTAAAATTTTCTTTCCACGGTTATTGACTTAGAGTAATAACACGTACATTCTCTCATAGGGGTTCAATCAGCCGAGTAAGATTTTCATAAGAGTTTAAAACAAATCCGCCAGAATTACGACATTTCTTCACTAAATGACGTTTGAACCAAAAACGGTATCTTGTAAATCAAAAACATTCATTTAACAAGAATGAGAAGTCATTCGCTTAACAAGGTAGCTAAAAATATTTATCGAACCGCATATGAACCCTTAAGAATCAACGGTAAATAGAATTTATCAACCTGAGAAGACTTGATCTTACTAATAGAGAGGAATTTATCTACCCAAAATTGCATATTAGAGTGCCTACCCGACATCATCGATGAGATCAACCATCAGAAAATGAGATCACGTTAGAGTCTCGATCCTATATAGAAGCTCACAGACATGAATCACGATGATCGTCTTTGAGAGCAGTATCAGGAACCTTCAATAGATCGATGTCAAATAAGAAAACAAGTTCTTAATGGGAATAGTGTTATAACAAATTTGCTTTTATGGCTCGACAACCTGAGGAAGTGATATCTCACTTATTCTACAAGATCCGTTCAACCAATCGTGGATTAGACACAATTTATTATTATTACAGATATTCTATTTCCATAATATAACTAGCAAGAAATTTCTTTTTTACTGTGTACTAGTATCAAAGACACTCGAGGAAGGAGATTAACTCTACTTACATCCACATAATTACCTAAAGGAAGATAGTCTAATCGACTCTTGTCCTACTAAATTGCGCATCATTCTGATGATATTACCCTACCCCACACATATAAGTATCGCTGAGGAACAACATTTTCCTTTTTTTTTAGTCTTACGAAAATGTTTTACACCCTTTATTCGAGTACCTTTATACATAGATTCATAAATTACTTTCTTAGCTATATTCACCGTGAGATACTAGGTTCCTTATTCGAACCCTTTTCTACCATATTTTAGCACTTGATATGCCAATTTCACTAGATTTCAGATCCTTAATTTAGATATCTTAGTATATATTTTCTGCAAGTTTATCTCTGCTATCCATTTATTAGTAAAACTATCACATTAACTTGCCGATCAGTGATGGACGAACGACATCAGAGTCTTAGTCTATGAGTACAGTTTGTAACTTTTAGGGCAAGTAGGGCTTGACCATGTTAACATAGAAACGACTAACTCTAGCTTTGATACCACTAAATGTAGCGCCCAAATCACAGAGATTCGAATGTCACACGAAATTTTAAATGTGAAGACAAAATATTTTCCTCAGAAATCATACTTGCTTCAAAGTATTTATATAAAGTATAAATCCTAATAATTTATAAAAATGGGGACCTAATTTAGAAACTCGATAAATAAAATAAATAACCATATATTTACTAACTGACTCTTTTCAAACCATGACCTCTATATGCTCATTAAGTCGATATCGTCGTATTCTGGTACTCTGCTAAGACTCCTCCGATGATCTCGTTGTCCCATCACGATCCATGAAACCTAAAACCTGCGATCAAAAACACATTCCGAACGCTGAGCTCGCAAGCCCCGCGTCACATAATACCTCTACCATGTTACATGCATTCATCAAATGATCATGTTGACGAACGAAAATATGTGCATGCAAATACACTCAAACATCCTGAGGTAAGTTTAGTGGTGTGGTCGGAGGAATTTACGTGCATCTCAGGACGACACCCCTAGCTTACCTAACATCTCACGAATATGCAAAAACATATCAACAAATATGAGATAAGACCAGCAATGTGGTCGGAGGATACTAGCATATCTAAAATGCAATAGCTTCGAGATAAGAACCAAAATTTACGTGCATCAGAACTTGTAGCCCTTAGTCTACCACGGATCCTCGAGAGGTCAGGGTGAGTTCCATAATTTACGTGCATCGGAAGCTCACATCTCGATCCAACAGATACGGGCTCTCGAGCATAAGGTTTGATTATGGAATTTATGTGTATTGGAATTCATACAGGTATGACCTGAAATTTACGTGCATCGGATGCATACCCAAACAAAAGATATCCGGATATCAACATACATAACTGAAAAACGTCATAATGCTAGAGTAACTCGGGTGTCCTAGTCGTTTCTCGAGTATCAAACAAATGCTAGTTTTATGACACTTTATTTCATAACGTTATTAGTCGAGTTGATCGTTATCAATGATATCCTATATTAAGGGTTTAAGTATTTAAGCATCAATTATGGACCAATTGAACTCATTCAAACATGTGAGGTCAAGAAACACTTCTCAACACTTCAGACCCCTAAAGAATATAATTTCAGAGTATCAAACAAATGCTAGTTTTATGACACTTTATTTCATAACGTTATTAGTCGAGTTGATCGTTATCAATGATATCCTATATTAAGGGTTTAAGTATTTAAGCATATCAATTAATGGACCAAATTGAACTCATTCAAACATGTGAGGTCAAGAAAACACTTCTCAACACTTCAGACCCCTAAAGAATATAATTTCACCCTTTTCTATCAAGCAAAATAGCGAATGGATCAATCCTTTTGAAAAAGGATCAATCCTATGCACAACATAAAGTTTGGGATCGATCATTTTGGTCAAGGGATCGATTTTTTTGCCTGAGGGATTGATCCTTTTGAAAAGGGATCGATCCTTTGCTGGACAAAAACTTTAGGATCGATCCATTTGGTCGGGGGATCGATTCTTTTTCTGGGAATGATTGTTTAAGCTCGGGAAACACCCAAAAATTAACCCAACAAATCACCTAAGAGTAACAAACATGTTTAACATTTTATTTAGTGTCTTAGAGGTCAAAATGTACTATCTTTAATGCTTGCAACACACAAACATAGAATATGCCATGAATTGTTTATACATGCATCATGAACCCAAACCCCCCACATGCTTTCCTTACCCCATACATGCAAACAAGTTAATTTAGATGACATTAAAAATAGTAAAGAAGAGTTATAGTGTGTTACCTCAGCTCCTAGAAATTCAAAACATCTATAGCTTACCCAACGGATAAACCTTTCCTTGGCTTAGCTCAAGAAGGTTCTTACACTATTGTTCCATCACTCAAAAACCACCAGTCGATTCCAACATGAAAATGAAGGACATTATGTGTTAAACAACAACTAAACTACATGAAAACCAAATAGAAATCATGGGGGAAGCTCTTGAAGCTTAAACTCTCCCAAACCTAAAATGAGTTCATGGCCACCATTGAAGAAGATGGTGAGCTTTTCAAAAAGCTTAAAAACCCTAGATTGTGAATCTTACCTTTAAGTTTCGGATTGAAGAAGAAGATTAAGAAATGTGAAGTTTTTTTCCTTTTATTCTTGCTTGAGTTGAGAGAAAAAGAATGAAGAAATTGAAGGGAGAAGAGAATATAAAGAAGGAAATGAGCATTTTTGCCTCACCACAAAAACCCACATCTAATATAGGAAAGAATCACCCCAAATCATACATGTTTTTCTTCAATGGTATAATTACACTTTAGGTCATTCATATTTCACCACAAGCTTAAAAACCCTTTTTTTATCTTCTACAAGACTAATTTCTTATTCGATTAGACTCAAGTTCAAAACAGAGGACCCTCGCAATATAATAAATTTATTAAATAAATTATTGGGTCAACACGAAACTACTAAGCCGATATTCGGGGCGTTACAATTATGATAATGTATGTACCTTGAATAGGTGGTTTAATGGCCTGATGACATAATAGTATTCTTCTCTGAATGCACTTGTTAGCATACTTATGTTATGAATGCATGTAGTATTCTTCTCAGTAAATGAATTGTGTGGCGTAGGGCTTACGAGCTCAAGATTCATAACGTGTTTTCATTCACATGTTTCAGGTTTTGTGGAGTGCAATTGGATAACGATATCATCATAAGAGTCTCAACGGATTACAAGAATACAATGATGACAGCTTAGTGGGCATGTAGTGATTAATATTTGAAACAAGTCACCTTGTAGCATTATTTATTTATTTATTTATTGAGTTTTTAAATTGGGACCCACTTTTGTAAATGATCATGGTTTCATACTTTATGTAAATGTTTTAAAAATGAGTGTGATTTCAAAAGAAAAAAAGAATGGTTAGTCACTTCGATGATTTCGTATGATACTTGAATCCTCGGTATTTGGTTGTTACACACGTTTAATTTAGGGTAGACATAAAATCTAATTTTGTTTAGGTTAATTGTTCATTTTATTGATTGAATTTATTCGAAGAATTTATTTATATTTATTCTACATACAAAAATTTTATGTTGTCAATATATGTTTGTTTATGCTAAAAATATTTTTGAATATGTTATTGCTAGTTCGAGTGTGAGGGTCCATGAGTTTTATTATTTTCAAGCATTCCAAAAAATTAAGTTAGGATCCAACTTAAAGTTAATTACTAATAAATTATAAATGCAAAGATCTTGTTTGAATAAAAGATACAAATATTTTACGATTTAATTGATATCCTTTCGTAAAGAATTTTATATTATAAGATTTTATCGACTGGATTTTAATTTGGTTGATATTATTATTGTAATATACAAACATATATAAATTTATAAAAAAAAGAATTAATAAATAAGTGTCTAAAATATACCCTAAATTAACTTTATGTGCTTAAAAAGTTTTCGTTAAAAATAGGTATCTAACATTTTCTCGTTACACTTTTAAGTACATACCGTTAAAAAAATCGTTAAAAGACACATACTAAGTTTATACTTTTTTATTTTTTTTAAAAAAATATTATATTTTTTTAAATCCCGCACACTTTCTTCTCCCTTTCCTCCTTTCTTCTTCAACCTTTCCAATCCCCCATCGTTCTTTTTAATGGTATACACCTAAAAGTGTATCGGAGAAAACGTTAGATACATGGTTTTGACGAAAAATTCTTTATGCATCTAAAGTTAACTTAAAGTATAGTTTGAACACTTATTTTTCATTAAACCAAAAAAACCTGAATAATTTAAAGATTGTATCAATTAAAACATCACCCCTTGCCATAGCTCTTGAAACAAGCAGGTATAGTGGAAAAAGTAAATTTTGACATAGCTCTTGAAAATAAAATTGTGAAAGGAAGCTTTTTTTCAATAAAGTAAGGGTTATTAGATGCTAAGGAAATATCCCTTAGAAACCATAGAAGGACAATAGAAAATATATTCGGTCATGATTTCTTAAATAACGTAATTACCCTTTTGGTCCTATTTTATATATATATATATAACCACCGGTAGGTAGCTGGTCTATTTTCTTTTTTTTTATCCTATTTTATTCATAACTTAAAAATACTTTTTGTGATCAAATGAATTTGGTCTTCATCTGTTTAACAAATTAAGACGTACTTACTAAATAATTAAATATGTGACTCACACTTTAACTTGAAATTATGTTCATTAAAAGAGTAGTGTCGTTCAACTTATTTTCTTCTTTCTCTACAAACCTATTAGTTTTTACTCGCATGTTCTAAACCCTTCAAATCTCATATCAACTTGAAACAAAATTATATTACTCTTCTTAGTTCGGGCTACATATTCACATTTGGAATTCATTGACGACTACTTCGGTCATCGGTAATCCATTGAGATCGAACTAGGGGTCTTCTCTCCTCTCTTTAGTTTTCTTCCCTTTTCTTGTTGGCTGTCTTGATGTGAGTGCTAGATGGTTTCGGGTTAAATTTTATTGTAGGAGTTCCACGGTGAGAGATGGTGAGTGCGTTGTGGCGGTGAAGGTTGTTGGGTCGACAACCTTGGGGTCAGTTTGGGAAATGTTTTGGTCGTGCTATGCCACTGGTATGGGTTTATCTCTCAGGTGGTGGTAAGGATTGGTTGATCCGAAACTGGTGAGTGGTGGCGAGGAACGATGGGGAGCTGAAAAATGATTGTAGTGGTGGTGATTGTTAAGGGTCTGGGTAAGTGATTTTAGAAAGTTTGTCCGAAGTTTAGGAGTCCAATTAGAAATAAACCATTTTACTCCTAGGTATTGAATCCACAACATATCGGAGAGAAGAGGTGTCAAGTGAAAAAATTTAATCATATATCCTAGGAATTATTAAAGAAGCTTTAAAGATTATTAATTAATATATTTACATCGCTGATAATACATCAAATAAAAATCCATATATATTGCATCCATCCATAATAATTATTATACAATCCTAAAACCCTCACTTCACTAGCAAATATTATTTTAGAAAAGAGATAAGTTATAGGTGCAAGTAGATATGTACAGTAATAGCATATAACAGCATATACTTCACATTTCACAATATGAAAGAAACCCTATGGAGAGTTGAAATCCCATTCCCATAACATTTTTTTATTTTTTATATTTTTGAAAAAGAAAGATAAGAAAACACTGGATTCTTCTTCTCTGTTTTAATACATTAATTAAAATGATCCTAGCATGCCTGCATGATGCAAAGCCTATTTCAACACCTCAACTTACAGTGATAATTGGGAGATGAAGTTCTAAATGTTTCTGTTTAAAGCTACGGTCTCTTCGGTTATGTTTGGTTTCGTTTTTCTTAAAATATGGATCGAACCGCACTTTGCGGGTTTTTAAAAATGAGAACCGAAACCGAATGACATAAAAACCACGGCTTTTGGTTCGGTTTAGGTCGGGTCGATAGTTTTTGACTGTTAAATATTTTTTAAACTCATCCTCCAAAATAAGCAAATTTAAAGCTTAGATCGAGTGCAAATATATAAATTTAAATTTATAAAAAAATATGATTAATTTTAATATTTTATTTATTTAAAATTTGCACTATAATAAATGAAAAATGAATGTGTTTTGAATATTTATTTTCTTTATTTTTAATTCACTTTAATTCGATTCAAATAGTTTGCCTATGGAACCACCGAAACCGAACCATTATTTGGGTCGTTTAAGCTAATTGGAATTATTAAAATAATTATATTTTTAATTACCTCGACCATTAAAGAAATCCAAATGAAAGAGTTTATTTTCTTTTATAATAAATAAATAAAAGTTTATTGGTATTGCATGTATAAAATAATTAAGATTCAACATGTCAACAAGACCTTAACTTATATAATAAAATTAAAATGTCGTAAAATTTTAGGTATTTATTTCAAATTTCATTATATATCCGTTCAGTATAAGTGTTCTTATCAAAATATTAATTTATATATTCTATATAAAAGTATTAATTGAGAGAAAATTTTGAACCAACGATAATACTATTATTTAATTATTATATTTGAAATTAAATTATTTATTAATTTGTCATAAGAAAATATCTTAAAACTATTAAAATTAATGGGTAAACAATACTTTATTGTTTTAAATTATTTATTAATTTGTCATAAGAAAATATTGTGGCATTTACGTTCATCTTCTCAGTGAATCCTTCCTTGCTTCTTCCTTCAGCAACAAATGCATCCCCAACTTGAACTCTCCCGTATTCGATCAAAACGGCATCCTTGCTTCTTCCTTTAGCAACAAATGCATCCCCAACTTGAACTCTCCCATATTCGATCGAAACGCCATCATCAAATCTTAACGAAAACTTGGGCGTCAAGTTAGAATGATCAAAGAAGAGTTCGAGGCTGCCACCAGGAGAACATCTACGATGGCGGTGCGGACACTTAAACATGTCAGGTTTTTAATTTAATTTCTTGTAAGGATCTAATAAAGTAGAAAATGAATCGACAAAGCAAAATTTTCTTTGCTAGGAAGGATAACAGATGAAGTCTAAGGGGCATGGAAGAATATCTAAAACAATTGGTTCTGCTTTCTTCACAATAGCAGGTTAAGCTTCTAAATGGAGTTGATGGTATTGAGAGGCTTGTAGAAGTGAATCAGCAGTTGACCTGAAATGAAAACAAAGAGAAAGACAGGCGTTCGAATTTATAGTTCGAGATATGCACCTTGTTAAAAAGCAGCAAAGGATTCTAAGCCAAGCACCAAGGACTACCAAGACCAGAACCTTTTGTGGTCCACCTCAAATGCAAGGGTAGCCCTGCATCAAAATTATGCAATCATCTAGAATTCATCCTCAGGAAATTACAGAGAAACAAATGATCAAATTTCAAACTAGAGTATTAAAGCACATCGATCGACTGTATATTCAATAGAACATAATGATCCCTGGATTCACCACAGGTCACAAGCTAAGTCTCTCAATAAGTACCACCACAATATTTATCAAATGCATCAACAGTTTAACAGTGCCAGTTCAAGATCTCATCGGAAACATATCAATGCATTGGAAACATGTTCCACTACCATGAACACACGCATCACTCTCTTCAACGCTTTTCTATTCAAAACAATCTTTTACACATTTTCTGCAATCTACTTGTTTATAAGAAACATTCCTGCAATTTCCTTACAAAAAATATTTCAGCATCACCAAATAGTGGTTCTTCTGCATCTGCTAACATTTGAATATGCATCTGGAAAAAAGAACATGATTCACTGTGCCATCTATACGGGTATGTGGGAACCATGAAAATTGCATGCGCATTAAGCAGAGACAAACAATCAACAATTACAGTGTTGAGACTTGAGAGTTAGGTCGAGACAGTATGGGGGTGATTCAAACATAATAAATACTTGGCTATACAAGCAGGCCTTTCAAGAAAGGAAACAGAGTGAAAAATAAAGTAGGATTAGTAGTCCATTGTGAAGAAAAATCTTAGAAACTGCTTAAAAACAATCAAAATGGATTTCACCAAAAAACGCCCCAATTATCGACCCATAGTACATCGAAGATTTGATATGTGCTCTCAACAATTATGCTCCCATAATAGCCATTGATACACTCTCAAGTTCTTTTAAATAAGGACTAACATACTTCTCTTTGAACTTCTTTTCAGACATCTTACAAATTGTAGTCAAGTTAGCTTTTCTTCTTAGCAAATTCTAACTTTCCAGAATCTCAATAACCAGTAGCCGAGGCTTCAGCCTATGCTCAAGGCTATAACAAAACACCAGCGGGTTGCTTGTTATATGCGAAATACCTACATTCTTTCGGGTAAGTAAAAATTCAGTGATTTCCTTGATCTTCCCTTCTGATACAGTAAACACGTGGTGTCCTCCTAAAAGTAGACAAGATATCATCTTCAGAGAAGCCCAATTTCCTAAAAAGCTTAAACTTCTGTTCCCATTTCTCTTCACTCATTGAACTCAATGTCCTAATAGCAATGAAAAACATATTCGACTTCCTATCGATTCCCATGTCATCCGACCTTTTAACAAACTGCTTAATTCTCTCAGCTTTTTGCAAGAAAAATCTGGGATATCTAAAAACATAGAATACTATTTGTGACAAACTAATCCCACAACTTCTCAAGTACTCGATATTAGGCATAATCGTCTTCTGCAAATCACATTTCAGAAACCAAGCTGAAGATTTCAGTAGCTTAAGGACTTCGGCATTCGATCCTAGAACACTCTCTAGATCCAAAATTGAAGGCCCTATTCTATCAGTCACGCTTCTAGTCAAAATCTAGGGATCCCCAGCTACAATATCAGCAACATCATCCGTCGAAAATTCCAAATCTCGGAAAATCTTGAATTTGGGTTTAATTGTTTTCTCAAGACTAGAAGATAGAATGTTAGGCTTCCTTTTGAGCGTTTCTTCAATATGGGATTTCGAGAAACTACTTTCTTTTAAGAAAGAAATTATATCATCACAGTTACGATGATCCTTAAAAATGGTTAAGGAAGATGCAGTTTTGACGGCAATTTCAGGGGAGAAGTTGTGTTTTTGAATGAAGTGATCAGCTAAAGAAAATGAAGGTCTTGATTCCTGGTTGGCAGAAGATGAGAATAACACAACAAAGACGGAAGAACTGGAAAGGGGTTTTCGAAGCGGTGTGATTTATTGAGAGACAATGAGATTAGAGTTCGGATAATAGGGGGTGCCATTTTTCTTGAGGTTTTTACAGGCTTAGATCTGCTGGTCTTCTTTTAGAATAAGAAACAGTATAACAAAGATTCAAACAGGTTGAGAAACTTGCCTGTAACACCAGTTTTTGTCTTGTAACCGCAAAAGTCTTCCTTTGACACTGATATTCGTGTTAAATCTTGCTTCTTTGGATTCCAGACCTACACAGTGCTTTGATTAGGGTTTAGGGTACAAATTAAGCTTCAGAAAGATGGGTTTTTATATGGATAAATTATTAATTTAATCACTAAACTTTTACATTTATCCTATTTCGGACACTAAACTTTATAAAATTGTATTTTACTCACTTTAAATTATTCTTGTTTTGATAACTCCACTATTATTGTTACTAAAGATCTTATGACGTGGTATTTTTTTCTTTATATTAAAAAATATTTACTATTTGATTATTTCTTACTTTTTACAGTTGCAACATGATTGATTAGAAAAATGTGTTTACTTTGAAATTTGAATATTTTTTAATTAATTATTTATTTTATTGATAATATCTATGTGGAGTTTTATTTGTGTTCACCCAATTCAAAAGTTTTACGTTGATAATATGTGTTTTTTCGTCTTTAAAAAATAATTTTAGATTTGTTACTAAGTAAGCTCTAATGTGATAAACAATTATATCAAAGAAATATGCTATGAGACACTAAAGAATATTATAATGTCAAAAATGAAAACACATTCACCACATAGTAGAAGAATCTTATAAATAAAAGTTAATTGTCTAATATGTTCTCAAACTATGATCTTTATTTTAAATTGGTCTCTAAAATTTTAAATATATTAGTTTTATTCTTAAGTTATGGCTCTCGTTTTAATTTAGTCTCCAAAATTTTGTACATTTCAATAACATCTCTAAAATATGACCCTCGTTCCATATTGCTCTCCAAGCTTTGAACATTTCGATAAAATCCCAAAATATGCCCTCTTTCTATATTGGTCTCCAAACTTTGAACATTTCAATAACATCCCCAAAAATCATTCAAAAGTTCAGGGATGAAAATATTCAAAAGTTTGATGACTAATATAGAATGAGAGCCATATTTTAGAAATAAATTTGAAATTTCCAAAAGTTCAAGGAGCAATTTAGAATAAGGGTTTAATTTGAGAATGAAATTAGAATGTGTAAAAATTTATGACCAATTTAGAAGAAGGGTCGTATTTTAAGGAGATATAGTGTAATTAATATCCAATAGCAAATGGATACAAGTATGAGAAAACTTCAAAAAGAAAAAAGAAATAAAAAACAAATGAAAATGAAATTATAAATGATAAAAGCCTCAACGTTGTTAAGATACTGCAGTTGATATTGCAAAGCTCAAGTTCATTGGCACTTGATATCTTGGACAGCTTTGGTCACCAAGTTTACTAACATGGCGCATTTCATCTCTGCAGATTTCTTCTTTTTGATCAGTTTCATCAGCTGCATTTTCCCACTCAATTTGGAATGGCAAGTCGGTACCAAAAACCCAGATTCAATCTCACTCTGCAAGCTTGAATTATTTATCACATTGTTCGAGTTCAATTCCACAGTTACATTCATCTTCTTCGTGGATCTCGCCTTGCTTCTTCCTTTAGCAACAAATGCATCCCCGACTCCGACTCCCCCGTAATCGAACGATATGGTGGTGTTGTCGAATTTGAAGTGTCCGAAATTAGTGTTCTTTACGGAGACTTGGGCGTTGAGTATGATGTTGAAGGAAGAAGAGTTGGGAGCTGCCACCGTGAGATCCTCGAAGGTGATGGAGCGGACTCTGAACTTGGGGTTTTTGATACGCTTCACTGTAAGCGAAAAAATCAAGATGACAATGGTCTGGAAAATGGCGAAAGATGATGCGTATACGACCAATTTCATGCGTTTCTTTCGCTTCAGTGCCTTGGATACCTCTGCGGCAGACTCTGTTTCCGTCTTTCTCTGTCGGTAACTTTGCTCCACCATTGATGTATTCTCAGTTGAAGGAAAAGGCTACTGCTTTTTCATCCTATATTGCCTCTTGGAGTTGTTCAATGGAATCTATGAACTCCATGTCTCTCTCTCTCTCTATATATATATATATATATGCATGGGTCGCCCATAGGGTCGTCTTGTAAATTTTGGTGACCTGTGCCATAACCATAAATAGGCCTTTTAAAACTAAAATATTAGATATATAAAGAAGTTCATTAATATTTTAAAATTTGGTGGCCATATACCATAACAGTAAAATAAGCTTTGGACTTGAAAATTCTTTAGTCAAATATCCTAAATACACATATATACAAAAACTTTAAAAATTTTGGAGGCCCTTATAAAAATTGGGCCCTGTACGGTTGGACAATCCGCACAAGCCCAAAATCAACCCTGCAAAACGACAGGGTCGTCTTGTAAATTTTGGTAGGCCTGTGCCATAACAATAAAATAGGTCTTTTAAAACTAAAATATTAGATATATAAAGAAGTTCATTAATATTTCAAAATTTGGTGATCTTATACCATAACAATAAAATAAGTCTTAGACTTGAAAATTCTTGGACTAAATATTCTAAATACACATAATACAAAAGGCTTAAAAAATTTTGGAGACCTTTACAAAAATTGAGCCCTGTGCGGTTGGGCAGCCCGCACAGGCCCAAAACCGCCTCATGATATTACAGTATAGAACTAGAAGATCCTTTGGTTAGTGTAACATAGTAAAAAACAGTGGGAAAAGTTGGAAAGCTGAATCCAAACCAAGCCACAAGCCCACAACCAGCCAAAGAAGAGTTCAAACCTTCCAGCGTCTTTAGCTGTGCAATAAGTCAATATACCAACCAGGAAATGCTTCTATTTTGTTTGCTCAAATATTCGACATTGTACATTTACATAAAGATAAAGACTTTGAAACTCCAAAGTACAACCAACTAAAATATACTTATGCACTCACAATAGCCATGGATACATTCTCAGGTTCTTTGAAATAACGACTAACATACTTCTCTTTGAACTTCTTTTCAGGCATCATATAAATTGTGGTCAAGCTCAAGGATTTAAATTACTTTTCCGGCAAGTTACCGCTCAATCGAGCTGCTGCTGCTGCTCTTGTGTGCTTTACCACTAGGGGTGTTTCCTTCATTCCTTGTTGCTTGAATCAAGTCTCCATGCATGCTGAGCTGCTGATACAGCTTCATCTAGCCTATTATAATCAGATCAAGTCCACCGATAACTTTTTTCTTATGCTGATGAATTCTATACTCCGAAGATATTTACATAAAATTTGAGGAAAATAACAACATAGAGATTTCTTTCTTCTAACATGCCAGAAACCATATAGACCAGTGCTTTGATCATTAAAAGATAAGCACTAACGGCCATACCGAAGAAATTGATACACGCTTCAATAGCAAAATTCGGTCCATTGCTGTGGGATGTATAGGCTTCTTGATGCATGTGGAGCATAAACCTGGTAAAGATCACAAAATATGACCATAAACATTGAGCAATAGGTGCTGCAGATGTTAAATTGAGGCATATTTAAACGGTAGAAGAAAAAAAAAGCGAACCTCAGGTGCAGAATCAAGTCCATAGGTTATAGCACAGTGAGTCTCCTTAAGTAGCTTGTTCCATTCATTCGATTTTCGAGCATTTGCACATCTTTTAAGGCGTTGATCGAGAGCCTGAGCTTTAGTCGGCACGATTGCCAGCATATTTGTAATGATCCAATGCTTGTTTTGCTTCTCCCAATCTGCATGGTAAATTCAGATAAGGGTATAGAAAACTGCAAGCAGTAATAATTCAAATTTCCTTTCTGCAGATGATTATATAATGTTTTGCTTTCAATCAACCTGAGATAAATTGTAGCCAAACGGTGATGAGCTCTGCAATAAGTAGGATCAATCTGAATCGCTTCTCTGCACTCGACAACGCTACCGTAACAAGGCAGCGCTCTTATTGCAACTGTATGTCGCCTGCTTTCGACAGTAAAAGGTCAATGCCTCTTCAAACCTTCCATTTTTGTCATTTTCTTTCCTGAGGCACTGTTTCCCCTTGAAGATGATTTTTGGGGAACATCAGTTTAATGAAACATCAAATGAAAACTTAACAAGAATAAACAACTCAAGGAGACCAAAGGGTAAAATAACAACAGATGGGCTGAATGTGAAGGATTCAGTGTTGCATGGGAGATTTATTTACAGAGATCAAGATGAAATCAAAACATAATGTTAAATATGATTTTAGAAAAAGTTTACCTGAATGACCAAAGCGGAAATAAAGTGATAATTGGATGACTAAACGTCTAGTTTACCCGAAATGAATACCAGCAAGCTGACCATAAAAACGTTCTTGAACTCAAGAACAATGGGTTGATGCCTAATGAACAATGGATTACATTTATTTGAATTTAATAAAATTACCATAAATAGGGACGGGTGTAGAATTTCAACATTAAGTGTGAACTTATAGAATTTTATGTAGAGAAAAAACGTATAAAATTTAGAGAATCGAAAATATATTTTAAATATAAAATATAAAGAAAATATCTAAAATATATATAAATTAAAAACTTTTAGGGGTGATTGGCCGACTGCCTCTACCCGCCCTCTCTAGGTTCATCTTTGAATATAAATAGAGGCACACATATGATTTTATATTATAAGGATAAACTTATAAAATTTTAAGATAAGTAATAATATAAAATTTTAAGGGACAAAATAGATTATTTATAAAATATATAAGTATCTAAAATATATGGAAATTTAAAATTTTAAAAAATAAATATCTTTATTTATCCTCTATTGATTCATCTCAGATTACAAAATATAACTAATCAACTATCGGTTATTAATCAACTACGCATTTAGTATATAAACTATCAATTTTAGTACCTAAATTTTCAATTTAAAAAAACATGCCTAACGTTTTTTGTTTTATTTTAGTACCCACCATTAAAAATTTAACATGTTTAGTCCTAAACTATTAGTTTTGGTCCATTTTGGTACCCAATTTTTTAAATTTTTTTCAAAACTTAACGTTAAATTTTGAACAATAGTACTAAAATGAAACAAAAACAAAATTTTAGGTATAATTATAAAAAAATTCATAATTTAACTACTAAAATTAATCAAAACTAATAGTTTATCGTGCTAAATGCATAATTTACTCAACAATCAACTGAAGTAGTATCTTCTGGAAATCTTTTGTCAACAAAAATAATTTCCAATTTTCATTTTTATGTCGTTGATGGAATATTATGTCAGTTGGAAAGGGGAATGTCTCAGGAAAGGTAGGTTAATATACGGTGTTACCGGATACATTAAAAGATATTTAATAAATTCGGTTTAGCGCTATCGGAAATATTGAGTAGTAATAATAATATAGTAGGTCTAAATCTTGAAGAAATATTAAAAAATTTGGCAATCGACAAACTTAACTTGTCGGTTTGTGTCGATCCAAATTAAAAATGTATTGATCCATATCAATATAACAGGTAAAAATATCGATAAAACCGGTCACGAAAAGACAATACTGGTAAATCCTTACCAGATATATTGAACGTATCGATACTTTAATATAAGGATCGACACTTTGTGAATTTAAAAGAGAAGCAGTTTTAGCGCCTATAAAGTGTCGATACTTTATAAAAATGTATCGATCCACAACGATATAATAGGTAAAAATATGATAAAACCGGTATTAAAATGATAAAACCGATAAAGCACTATCGGATATATAGAGCTATGTAGAGCAAAAATACGAGGAACTGAAAAAATATGAAGAAGAAAAGAGGGAGGAGGAAGAAGAAAAGATGGAAGAAATGAGGAGGAAGAAAGTCGATGCCATTTATACATCGGACAGTGTTATAGCAACAGATTTAAATTCGGAATGTCCTATACCCCAGAAGAAGAAGCAGAAGGTAAGTTGAATAAAAGAAAACTTAATTTGATCTTTATCATATTGTTGTGACAAAAATTTGTATGCAAAATTGTAGGTTGAAAAAACGGATATTCCAAGCGGAATTGATGACATCGAAGCTGCAATTTGTGATTATTTATGGAATAGTGAGTTAGAATCGGGGTAAGTGAAATATATTGCTTTGTGAGTGATATTTAAATATTTCATGACAACATATTAATCCTAATGATTCATACAGATATTTTGTAATCTCAATGAGAAATCAATTCGCTAGTGTATACGACGTTGCAACGTTGAAGCCTACAGAATGGGTTGGCGGTGTGGTAAGTTGAAAGTAAAAAATGTTAAAACTTATTGAATATGTTCTGATTGTGTGATTAATTTTGTTAGGTTATTGATTTTCTCGCCTGGACAGTATGCTACGATTCTCAAAAGTCACTTCGGATGATTTGCTAACTTCCATACCTCTTAGCGGTGAGTTAAATTAATAAATGTTGAAAAGTAGTGTTATAGATGGTAAATTAATAATGTTTGTTGCGTAATTGCAGCAACAGGCGTTGGATGCCAACAATAAAGAAAGTGCTGAGAGTATTGCTATCTTTTGGGGTCCCATATTGGATAATTATGTGAAATTCACCGACTGTGAGAAGGTAAGACACCATACCAATTACAAATGATGTTTTCCGGTATATTATGTTGAATTTTGTCAAATTGGGTGTGAAATTTGTTGCAGATCATGATCACAATAAACTACCATAATTCACATTGGTATCTGTTGGTGTTGGATATGGTAGATCGTGTTGCAACAATATATGATAGTATGTTTACATCTGAAGCATCTAAACAGAGAGTGAAGGATGCTAAGAGATTGGTATGTATGTATGTATGTATGTATGTATGTATGTATGTATGTATGTATGTATGTATGTATGTATGTATGTATGTATGTATGTATGTATGTATGTATGTATGTATGTATGTATATATGTATGTATGTATGTATGTATGAAAGGACAATATGTAAATTATAATGAATAATTTTTTTGGATCATAACTTCTTCTTTTTTAATG